GGGGGGGGGGACCGTCCATACGGGGAATAAACTGGGAGAGGTATGTGGGCCAGAGATGTGAGTGCTTTTCGGAGCGGTATGTCAGCGTTGCTTTTCGGAGCGGTATGTCATTAACGTCACGTGTGTCGCCTAAGACGACCGCCAGTGTGCGTTAGTGTACGTTGGCCTCAGTGTACCTTGGCCTCGGAGAGGAGAGTGGCATCCTTTTGATGTTTGGTGAAGAGGAACCAGGCGATGAGTCGATAGATGAGTGTCTGAGCGGCTAGTACGGCGATGCACCAGCCGGGTGAGAGTTCGCTGTCTTTGTGGAAGCCTCCGATAAGTAGCATTGTGAAGTTGTTGTCAAGGATTCCTACGCGGCCGGCAGCATGTTCATATAAGCATTGAACGAGGCCCATGTAGGTGAATCGGAACATGGATGTGTAGGAGACGACTTGGAGGAAAGAGTTGGTGTGTTGTGTTCGTAGTATGAAGCCGCTGATAAGTAGGAGGAGGGAGAGTACGAAGACCCCGAGGAGGAGACTAACGGCTTTACTTCGGAAGAGCCCACTAATGGCGGAGGCGAGCGCGTGGGAACTAGCGCAGCCAAAGACTGCAATCACGCCGCTAATTCCGATGGTGGTCCAAGTGCTACTGGAGTGCACCTTCAGACAGGCAACGAGCGCCAGTCCCAGCACGAAACTTGGACCCAAATAAAAGAGGGTGTCAATTAACGAACGACACCAGTAATGCTTCGAACGCGAGTGGAAATGGTTCGATACCTCGCGCACATTCGCAAAATATACAGCCGACTCCACCCCCGTGCAACCAATCACTGCTGTCAACACAAATAGACAGGCAACATTGCTCAAGTCAACCCACAACATTCGTAGTATGTCCCGAACCATTGAAATCATTGTTGGAATTATTACTGGTACTATCTGACATGCTGAGAAATTACAGTAAGCATCCAGGTGTCTGGTAATTGTTGATAACAGTTTTTGCAGCCGCTGAGTATATAACAAGTCTATTACTTTGTCCGTCATCCGTGGAGATATGATGCGACCAATCAAAGTGATTAATGGTAGATCATTAAAGGTAAATGTGTCCTGTAACTGCGACCAAGCATTGTTCGATACCGGACGCTCCTCCAGATTATACGGTAATCGCACCTGGCCCGTATTAATCACGCTCGGACAATCTTCGTCGTGAGTCTCCTTTCCAGACCTTCGCCGCAACTGGCCATCCACCTGCCGCCGCTCCTGTGCGCGCACATCACGGATCGAATCCCACCGATCCACATCACAGGAAGCCAGTTCCCAAACCTCTTTCAACCTGGCCGCCAACGACGGCATCTTCTCTTTAACAAACAGGTCCGACCCCTGTTCCTTAAGCACCGCCAATATATACCTTTCAGTGTCCGTTATCGCCGACGAGAGACTCCCCCCTTGAGCAGAGTTATTGTCTTGAGCAGAGTTACTGTCTTGAGCAGAGTTACTGTCTTGAGCAGAGTTACTGTCTTGAGCAGAGTTACTGTCTTGAGCAGAGTTACTGTCTTGAGCAGAGTTACTTTGGAATAAGACTAAAGGGTCGCGGAGTAGTTTCTGTAACAGCTCCCCCATGCCGCTGGGCACTTCCGTAGTACCGGGCTCGCTGCTGCTGAGTCCAGTAGTACTGAGTCCAGCGGTACTGGGTGCCGTGGTATTGGCTTGTCCCATTGAAAGTGGTATGGCCGGCCAGCCAAGACACTCGACAAGGGGTGCCAATAAGGGCTTGGCCGCGCCTATGGTGCATGTATACATTCCCAAAGTGTTGGATTCATCTCCCTCTAGAAAGCAGCTCTGAGCATCTTTCCAAAGTTGCCAATTTTGTATTGTCAAATAGTCAAGAAGTAATAAAGTCCTATGTGCAGTCTCGATTCCGTATAAAAGATAACTGCCGTCTTCGTCAAAGAAACTGGCGTCATAATAATCGTAGTCTGCCATAGGATTCAGGTAAATGGTGTCTATATCCAAGGACTCGTACAAACAGTCCAGTACTTCTAGAGCTCCTGCCAACACACGGGTTAGTCCCATGACTCGATTGATATCATAATTAACTAACTCTGTCAATAAAGGGTTCGTTAGCTGGTACCCAACACTGGCGCCACTGGTCTTGTTGTACTCAACAGAGCCATAAAGCAGCGTGCTCCATAAACTGCGTGAAAACCCCGTAAGGAAACTGTTAGTCGTAGGATCATCTACAGTTCCGTTAAACTTTTGGAAGCCCTCTAGCTGGTCGTCCACGGACTCTACATTGTGCTGCACATAGTTTTCATCAACTCCACCGGTGGCTTGAACTCCACCGGTAGCTTGAACTCCACCGGTAGCTTGAACTCCACCGGTAGCTTGAACTCCACCGGTAGCTTGAACTCCACCGGTAGCTTGAACTCCACCGGTGGAGGATGAACTCAGGCTCGAGTCTAGCTGAAGGTACAGTTCGCTAACCGGCGATGAAGGGATGAGTCCTGACACCTTGTTCTGGTTGGTGTATATTAACAAGTTCAGACAAAGTATTATGAGAAGACCGATGGTGAGTGACGAAACTAGTCCAGGTGCGCGAAAGCGGATCCAGAAATGCATCTTTAAAGCGTCCCACCAAGTCATGTCGATCTTACTCGGCACGTGCTTCGTAGCCCAGCCCTCACAGCGCGTCGGAGATGGTTCCTGTTCCTGAAAAAGTGTCTTCATTTTGGCATTGTACTCTTGAGGATTAATCAGAACTTGAAGGAAAAAGTCCTCGAGTCCAGTCTTGGCTCTGAAACAGTTTTGCCCTTCACGACCAAAAAGGATGGGCTGTTGCTCTTCGGTAGACCCACCCCCTTCGCTCCTGCGTTGACTTGTGCGCGGATTCACATCCCCTGGATGATTCGCATCACCTGAGGCTGTTATTGGAGCTGCACCAGGACCAACTGCGGGTGCAAGTCCGCTGGGTGTAGCACTCGGTGTAGCACTCGGTGTAGCACTCGGTGTAGCACTCGGTGTAGCACTCGGTGTAGCACTGGGACAGCCGATGGACTTTGACTGTGTGGCGGAGGAGCCTTGTTGTATGTAGTTCAAAACCGTTTCGGGGGTGCCATCGATTAGACACGTTCCTAGACTCATGCAGACGACTCGGTCGTACATCCAGAGGCAGTCCATGGTAGGTTGGTGAATGCTGGTAATTATAGTGATGCCTTTGTCGCGTACTAGAGTCTTGAGTACGTGCAGAATACGTCTAACAATCAAGCTGTCTAGACCATTTGTTATTTCATCAATCATAACGGCGACATCTGGTTCAAGGTCACAAAGTTCAACGCAGAGAGAAATGCATCGACGTTCGCCTGTACTCAATCGAGGGTCGTCTGCACGCGAGTCTAGCTTTTCCGCAACTCCGAACAAACGAGACCACTCGTACGTGTCACACAATCCACGAGTCTCCAACATCTGACGCAACGTTAACCGACTGTATTCCGCTGGCAAATGGTTTGTTACCAATCGATACCCCTTTACCTCCACCGACCAACGACATGTACCTCGAGACCTATCACGACCCCAATGACCTAAATTGTATACTCCAGCCATGTGACGTAACAATGTCGTCTTCCCACTCCCACTCGGACCGATCAAGGCAGTCATAGTACCACGCTCGATCCGCAAGTTGACGTCTCGTAAGTAACCATGCGAAAAGTTCCTCAACACCAACATTGTAAATAACCCCGGCTTGACTGGGGTCGATCCAACGAGTCTAGAAGTCGTTGTAGCCGCACGTTTCAGGACAGGAAACCACTTGAGACAGTGGGCTGTTTCGCGGCCGGGGGGCAGGGGGCAGGGGGGGGGAGGAGAATTTGGTGCTGGACGCGCAGGAAACTGGCGGGTTTACGACGGGCAACCGTTTCAAGAGGGGAAATGGTTCCAGGATGACAAACCGTTTCAGAACTGTTTAGGACGGACTCAACTGTACTGAGCAAGTTTCCGGGACACGCCCTCCATTGATCTGCCCAAGGAGCGTTGTGCTGGTAGTAAATGCAGCCGTGATGAGGACAGGTGCAGCATGCAGATAGTGACCAAGCTGCTTTTGCCGGCCTTGGCGCTAGCTGGGAAGGAGCTAATCTTCCCGCTGGGAGAGCTGACGGACTCGCCGTTCGACTTTGGCACAAGCGTCCTGGACGATGTGAAAATGTGTTACAAGCCGGGGAATACTCCTCCTGTGCAGCAGCCGACGATGCCGATGAAGGGTGTTTATTTAGAGAGTGTAAGCGGGCTGTGTGTGGCGTGTGTGTGTGTGTGGCGTGTGTGTGTTTGACGTGTGTGTGTTTGACGTGTGTGTGTTTGACGTGTGTGTGTTTGACGTGTGTGTGTGTGCAGTGGAACGGAGACGCGGCTTTGAACGGGGTGGCATGGAACTTGATAACGCACGCGTACATTTCATTTGGGGCGGCTACAGTGCGTTGTGGTGTGAAGGTGACGGACGACGTGAAGGAGTTTACGAAGAAGGCGTTGGAATTGGCGGAGAGCAACTCAGGTGACAAGCGTCCGTTGGTGATATTGGCGGTGGGAGGTTGGGCGGATACACGGCATTTCAGTTGGTGTGCAAGCAACTCTAAGCGTCGGTCTAAGTTGGTGAACGCTTTACACGACATAGTTGAAGAGCTTGGTATAGATGGTGTTGACTTTGATTGGGAGCATCCTCGGTTAGGAGGATGTTTGGGTCCTGACAAAGACGATGAGGAGGTAACGAATTGTGAAGGGAGTAAGACTAACTGGATGGATTATTGTGAGAAGCCTAAAAATTGGGCTTTTCACAATAAGGATGATATTGTCGGTTACAGCCAACTATTAGCGGAGACACGTCTGGCATTAGGTTGGAAAAAGCATATATCATTTACAGTTGGTATAGGCGGCCAATTAGATGGTGGTTGGGGTGAGTTACCTGATAGGTTTAATTTCGGCGATATGTGTAAGTATGCTAATTTCATGCAAATGATGAGTTACGATTATTTCGGTAATTGGAATGACCCAGGCATCACAGGGCACCAGGGTGCCTTGTTCTGTGACCAGGAGGATCCGGCTCAAATTAATGGTAGCTACCCTACATCATGGGGAACGAAAGCATGGTGCGGGTATTGGCCATGTGATTGGGTGGACACTTTAGCCGGTGAGGGGAAAGGTTGTCCTTTCCCCCGATTGCACACTGCCGGAGTCGTAGAATGGGCACGCGGACCCTGGGAACCTATGACGGCGGACGGGAGTTTTTGCGATGGCGGAACCTCAGGACAGAAAAACAACGGCTACTACCCAAGCGCCTGTCCACCTAACCGAGTGGCCATAGGACTGCCAGCTTACGGCCGCGGATTCTGCGGCGTTAACTCCTCCACCTCCGGTGAATATGAACCCTTTACACCTTGCGACGTAGACTCCACAGAAACACCCGTCTTTGCCAACTACTGGCAAATCAAGGAATGGGAATCAGATGCGGCCTACACTACCTACTTTAACAAGCGCACACAGACGCCTTTCCTTTACAACAAAGAGAAGCAATATTGGATCTCGTATGCCAACACTGAAGGACTCACTAACCTCACCAAATACGCCATGTGTCGTGGCATGGGAGGTGTCTTCTTCTGGGCTGCCTCTGGTGATTCCGCAGGCGAGCTGCAAATAGCAGCATTCAAGGCCGTGGACGACCAGATGGGTACTACCGGTAGTTACTCCGAATGCCACGCAAAGGTGTCCGGCGGTATTGACGAGACCATCGACTATCAACGTACCATAACCGCATCTGCGGCTAAAAACCCTAGTCCCACTTACACCACCGACACATTGGTTGCCTCCTGCTGTCCGAATTGTGACCCCAAACCTGCTGATGAACCTTCTGACCTCGTCGCGGGTTACAACGGATTCAATCAAGTGAACCCTGCTACGCTACCTTCAGACCCTGGCGATGACCCAGATCCCGGCTCCCTACCCGATCCCTGGAGCCCCGAAGATGACACCGGCCGGACAGACGACGACTCCGATTCTGACGACGACTCCCAGTGCGGTCTACCCGGCTCCTGCGATAACACAAACACACCCGATGATAGTCATACCTACGACCCAGACAACCCTGACAACTCCACTGACCCAACATCTGCTCCCACCGACCCCACCGACAAGAGCGATGCAACTGATGCCACCGACGGCACGTCCGCGCCCACCAACAATAGCAATTGGGTCACGTTCTTCCCCGACACAGGAAGCGGTAACGGAAACGGATCCACCCAGGTCAAGTCTATCGTCACGGGACTTACCGTCGGTGCAGCCGTGGCTATCGCGTACCTTGTACACAGGAACTAGACCATCTTTTTCTCTACCTTTTTTTCCTTATACTTCCCACCACATTTCATCGACCACACCTCGGGAATCATACCTTGGGAATCATACCTTGGGAGTCATACCTTGGGAGTCATACCCTCACTAAGCTTGGCGTCAATTGTTTAGTCAGCTGTTAAAGCCTTTGAAGAAGCCTTTGATCCCAGTAGAGATGCCCCGGACCTGTAGCGAGAAGGCAGAACCGGTGGAGCACCAAGTAGCGAAGTGTTCGCAGTTGCTGAGGAATAGATTGTAGGAAGGGAATGGGAAGTCGGGATATTCATGGAAACCGCAGTAGGCGAACTCGGCTCGTCTCGCTGCGTTTTCGATCAAAACATCGGCCTCAATCACCCAAGGTTGTCCTGACTTGTAGATGGGTGTGTCCTCAGGACCGATGAGGGGCTCGTTCCTTGCTCGCACGTAATTGCGTACTCGCACAACTCGATGCCCGTCCATGAAGGATCGAAGACTCGCCTTGCGCAAATGCGTCAGTTCCTTATTCGGGACAAGCAACGTGCTTAATGCACTCTCATTCCCGCTAAAGTGGATCACGTCGCCACGACCCACGTAGATGCCATGATGCGTCATTAAACCCAGAGCTCCAGTCTCCCGAATCCGACGGTACAGATGCGCCCCGCGCTCCAACGGCCTACGGGTAATCAAACAGTCCATCGCAGGACCGTAATTTAGCAATTGCTCATACACACCTTCCTCGTTACGACACACAACTACCTGCGTCCTCGCCTGAACCGTAGCCACCAGCAACTGTTCCGTCGCCGAGTCCGAGCCTCCGACTGGGGCTGTCTCTACACCTCCCTCAGCCGCACCCCCCTCAGCCGCAACCCCCTCAACCGGACACTCAGCAGTGGGTTTAGCACCGGAGGATTCGGTAAGATGGCTCGTGGCAGGTGGGGTACTGGCAGGTGGGGTACTGGCAGGTGGGCTGCTGGCAACTTGGTTGCTGGCAACTTGGTTGCTGGCAACTTGGTTGCTGGCAACTTGGTCCGTGGCTAGTTGGTTGTCCACGTAGGAAAGCAGAACCTTCTCGAACGTGGACTTCACTTGATTCACCACTTCTTCCCCTATTCGCCCCTGATCATTGAGGCAGCTTGCGCCTCTGTGAAGCATACCCTGTAGTTCCAGTTTGTTATAGTCGGACATGTCATGAGGTAGTCGGACCTCGACGATACAAACTTGTTGTGCAGATTGAAGAATCTTGACTAACCACACGAGCCACTTACGCAATGTCTCGGTGGCCTGCAGTGTTTCGGTGGCCTGCAGTGAGGTCACTGTCCCTGCGGCCACCACGACGGGTCCTTCCGATCCATTCGGTCTCAGAGCGACTCGCAGGGACGACGCTTGTCTTAGCGGCCCGTCCGGTCGTTCCCCCGGTTTTTCGCTATCGCTAAATCTTCCGCTAAATGACTCGTTGGTGGACGCTCCCGCAGGCGTACCAGCCGATGCCTCAGCACTGCCTCCCGGAGCTTTGATGGGGAGACGTCTGCAACACAACAAGCAGCGTAACAACAGTCGACGCTTCCGATGATAGTTTGGGTTGCGTTCCTTCTCCGTCTCTCTGGCCACCGTCTCGTCTTCTCCCTCAGGCAACACGTTTGGCGACGCTCTTCCCGGCGGAGTTGGCTTCAACGTTAACTCCATTAACGCACTTGTCTTTGGATCGAAAACGGATACACCCTCACGCCGATATAAAACCGAATCAAACACCTTAAGACGGCTTTCACTCCGCCAACCAGACGCCTCTACTACCCCCCCGGCAGCCATATCAGAGCGCCTGCTTGCTTTGTCAGAACGACTACTTGTCTTGTCAGAATCAACGTTAACTCCACCACTCTTCCCATCATCCAAGCCCCTCCCATCGCGTGATAGTGCATCTTCCAAATCCTCCCCCTCACCTGTCAAATCGACCAACCCTTCATTGGTTCTCCTGTCAGCGCCCGGAGCGCCTCCCACAATCCTGATTTCTGTCGTCTCAATTTCGATAGAATTAGCCCCTTCAGCCAGCATCGGGTCAGCCAATGTCGGGTCCGAATCGGGACTGCTGTCAGAGGACAGCTCAGCCGCCGCATTGCCATCTTCACTAAAGGATCTACCTTCCTGTTCACCTTCCTGTTCACCTTCCTGTTCACCTTCCTGTTCGTCTTCCATAGAGTGATAGAGGCTCTCGTCGTCTCTAAGCATGACATGGTCAGCACCTAGATCGTCGGTGTGCACCTCGAATATCACGAAGGCCTCTTTAAGTTTGGCCTTCAGCGCGTGTGAAGCGGCTTCCGCCTTAGCGGCAATCGCATCGTTCCAAGCGGTTATAGTTCCCGGAAGAGCGTCATCTTCTGGTGGCGGTGAAGGCGGTGGTTCAAAGCTTTCCAAGGTGGCTCGGTTGGCATTAACTTCATTCATGATGGGTATCAGGTAAAGCATGACGGCTAGAGATAAGTTAAGCCGCACCGCCACGACATTGGGCCGATCGACAGCCAGGGGTTTATCAGGTGGGCCCGAAATGTGAGCAACAGAGCTAGAACGGGCAGATACACCTTGGTCGTTAGACGAACGGTCATCAGACGCAACCCCTTGGTCGTCAGATGCGGCAGTAGTGGTAGTATTGGATCGGTCTAGATTAGCATGATTAAGGACAGAAGTATATTGTGGCCAGATATCCAGTGGTGACATTGACTCCAGTTTGGTAATCTCAATGTAACCTCCTAATGGTCCCTCGTAGCCATTGAAATTACCGGTTATGTATTTGTCTATAACTACTGCTCTCTTGTTTACTCTGTTCTTATCACCCTCATGTACATAGTTGCTTAACTCCCATTGTCCCATTGTCCATCGTTCCGATAGCTCTGCGTGCTTGGAGATCTTTGACCGAGCTGTGGCGGAATTTATTAATACTGGGGTGATGGGATCTTTCGTGTCGAAAGCATTGTCCTCCCTGTCGGCGTACTTCGGACAGCGGCAAGCCAAAATTCTAATCCTAGGGTTAGACAATGCAGGGAAGACTACTATACTCTACCGATTGCAACTGGACGAAAATGTTGAGACTGTATCAACACTGGCATTTAACGCTGAAAGCATCGAGTATCAAAACATTAAGTTTCAGGTAAGTAATGAATGGATGGATGGAGCAGAAATCGACCGTGCACACGTGTGTGTCAACAAATAAACACGCGTTTATGCATGTTCCTGACCGTATTTATTTCAGGTGTGGGATCTAGGAGGGCAGATGTCTATACGACAGTATTGGCGTTGTTACTTTTTGGCGACATCAGCTGTAATTTTCGTGGTTGACTCAACTGATACTGCTCGAATGGACGTGGCCAAGGAAGAGCTACAGACTCTCGACGAAGAGGAAGGCTTAGAGAATGCTGTATTCGTGATCTTCGCAAATAAACAAGACGCCCCGGGGGCATTGTCTGCGGCTCAATTGGCGGAGGAACTTGAGCTGAGCAAGATACGCAATCGGTCGTGGAGCATATTCAACACAAGCGCAGTCACCGGCGTAGGAATAAACGAAGGTCTTGATTGGCTCTGTGCGGAGATCATGTCTAAATAACAAGATAGCGCACGAGAAATACCCCCTCCTCCCTCCTGCTGAAATGTGCCCCCTACTATTGGTATGTCCCTAGTATTGGTAGATCCCTGCTATTGGTAGGTCGACATATCGACATCAACTTATCAAGATCGACATCAACTTATCAAGATCGACATCAACTTATCAAGATCGACATTCCATTGCCTCCATAGCTGCCACACACACTTTCAGTTATGTAAGTTATGACTCGTTTGCCTTACAACCCAATCGTGGCTCCCGACAAGATTATCCAACCAAAATGGCCCTGCCAAGAAAGACTGTCCACGTGCCGATCTTTGGGGTCGTCGACTTCCCTCACTTTGGTGGGTTCCCTAGTGGAGTCAATCGTAGCACTTTCGATTGGATATTATTCCACGACGCCTGTGGTTTCTGTCAACGTGTCAGAAGCTGAGTTCCGGTCGGATCTACTGATAGTGTCATTGAGATGATGTAGAGAATTGAAGCGCAGAAAATTGGAGCATAGAGAATTTATGATCGCGCGTTGTTCAGGTCGGAGTGCGCGCGTTGTTAAGGGTCCCTCTGCTGTGGTGTCTTTTCGGTTATGCGGCCCCGTTAGGTTGTGGTGGTTTGATCGGCGTTGGTTTGATGGTTGTTTGATCGTTCCGAATTAATTTTTGAAAATGGAGCGGGAGACGATTTTGCAGGACGAATTTGGGTGGGCATGGACCTTCCGCGAGATCCACCGTATTGGTCAGTTGTTGAGCGAGTCGAATAGTGTGGGGACGGCGGGAGCAGTGGCATCGAACCTTGTGGGGCGGTCTCCAGTGGTGACAGATAGCTTGGGGCGGAAGTGGTGGTTGACGTATGAGATTATGAAGGAAGGCTATTTAAAGGTCTCTCTGCACTTTGACACGGTGCCTTGTCAGTTCAAACTTGCCCTAGATACATTTGACGCGGCGGGCGTCCGAAGTCCCGTCTTGTCCGGAGGGACACCCACTCTCGTGAGCGTGACCAACGACATGTTCGCCAACGCCACCTTGGGCTCCGGACTCGCGCTCGCCCGCGGCACCGAAGGCGGCCAGTGCTTCCTCATGCTAGCATACAAGCAGTTAGACGGTTGGCAGGATAATTTCCGCCTCCACATAGCCCTTGTTTTTCAATGAATTCATCAACCCATGAATATCCCGACCAGTACGCAATCCCACCTGGATGCGAACCCAAGCTTTCTAACCAGCCAGGAAGAGACGGATTTACCAACAGAAATGGATTTGCTAATAGCAATGCACTCGCCCGCGAAGACCACGACGACGAAGGCGAAGAACCCGAGAATACGGCTGGCCTCAACAACTCCAAGACGAGACCGGAATCAGGCCCTACGTCCACGGCAGGTCCTACGTCCACGGCAGGTCCTACGTCCACGGCAGACCCAACGGCCACAGCAGGTCCTACGTCCACGGCAGACTCAACGGCCACAGCAGACCCTACGTCCACGGCAGGCGGGCTAGACAGATCCAAAATGAACTCCAAAATGAAGTCAGGGCTAGGAAGTGATCGGGGCCCCGCCTTTGGGCTCGCGACGGTCCCAAATGCAGTACCCGTCTCAGCACCCAGAGACTCTCTTCCCGAAAGGTCTTGGGAGCGGAGCAAAGGCCTGAATCACGCGGACGAGTACTCCATCCCTCCAGGATGCAGCGTCCCCCAAGATCCAAGGACCTCCGGCCCACCTGGTCAGAAGCAATTTAGTCGGGGCCCATTCCGTCAGCACCCACCCGGTAGGGGTGTATCCGGTCCGGGTGTATCCGATCCTGGAGGTGTAAACATAGATGAAGCGGACGAGTACTCTATCCCGCCTGGTTGCGGTGGAGGTCGGGTTGTTAATCCTCGGAGCACAGGTCATCCTACCCCCCCGGATTTGGGAAGCGGTCCCGACCCAGCTCCCTTGACCGAACCGTTTCCGGACGAGTATGCCGTACCACCAGGCTGTGCGCCTCCGGCCAAACCATTTCCCAATAATCGAGAAAGAACTCCGGCTGGAGGCCTTGTGACGCCTGTTCCCTTCAAGGCGTCCACTTCCGGACCGCCGGCCCGGTCTACCCCCGACCCGGGAACAACCGCTTTCCCTGGAACCGGCACCTTCCCTGGTCCAGGAACTGCCGCCTTCCCTGGTCCCGGACCCGGATTTTCGGGGGCCGGCTTTCCGGGAGAAAGTGCAGGCGAGAGGGGCAACGAGGAGATGCTGCAGCCGCCTGGGAGTCCTATGAAGAAGAAGCCGGAAGAAGAGTTCCGCGGCATGTCGGTCAAGGAGCTACTCACTGACTCGCGTTGGGAGGCCAAGGTGCACGGGCTCAAATACGTACGGGAACAGCACCCCTCTGAGGAAGAGGCGGTGGACGTGCTCGACTCTCTGAAAGACAAAAGCGTACCTGTGCAGAAAGAGTGCGTCGAAACAGTGGGATACCTGTGCAGGCTCTTGGGAGGCAGCGTTGACTCACCAGAGAATCAACCCCAAGTCGACCCGGCCAGTCACCAGCGCCTCAATAGCCAGACGGGAGAGCCCATAGCACGAGAGCGGTTTGTGAGCTTGCTGCTGACTTGGTGGCAGGAGACGGCGGTACCGCTGATCCTGAAGGGTTTATTGAATCAGCCTAAGAACCGGAGCGCATTCACGGACAACGTTGGGGACATTTTGTGGCTACTCGGTGGCTCTGTCGCGCCTGCTGACTTGACGGGGCCGTTGCTGGACGGAGTTAAGGCTTACACGGAGACGAAGTCGGGCGAGGTGCAGGTTTCAACCAGGTCGTTCAAGGGCGTCGCGATCAAGTCAACCACATCGGTCTTCGTTGTAATTGACAAGATCATCACGCTGTACGGACTGCGCATGGTGTATGTGGACAAGCTGCTGTGTTTGTGCGCCGCCTTTATCGCAAATACTGACCGGACACTCCGCGAAACACTTTATCAACTTTGTGTACTCCTCTTCCGCATTACTCAGAACGGCGATCTCTTCGCCTCCCTGATCAAGCAGAAACCGATTCTGACGGAGGTCGAGTCCCGCTGTGCCCAATACAAGGACCAACCACCGCTCAAACCGCAACGCAAACTCTTCGCGCCGCCTCCCCCCAATAATGCCGGTCAAACCGCCGCCGTAGACCGTGCCCCAGAAGAGGACGGGCCCAGCGACTTGGAGAACTACTTGCCCGCCGTGGACTTGCTGGGCAGCCACTTCAGCAGCGAGACCTTCGAGAAAAAGTACAAAGAACTATCCTCCTGGAGCCTGCGCAAAGAGTATTTGGATAACTTTGTCAAGCCACTCGAAACAAATAAGCGCATCAAGACCGATTCTCTGGTGCCCGCCAACTTGCGCGCCGTAGTCAACCTGCTCGTCTACATCGTCGATCATGAGACCAATATTGCCGTACAAACCGTCGCCGTTCGCGCAGCCGCCGCAGTCGCGACAGGCTTGAAGGAACACCTGGGAGTCGAACTCAGTCGCGCCGTCGTCAAACATCTCGTGGTCCGACTTCGTGATAAAAGTAAACCGCTGCAGACCGCCATTTTGGAGTGCTTGACCACGGTCTGTTCACACTGCTGCAGCCTCGACCTCCTAACCGATGACGTTGCCACTGTCATTGATTCCGGCAAAAACCCCCAGCAGCGTCTGCTGCTGTTAGAATGGCTCGGACACGTTATTCCAAACACATCTCATGAAATAATGTCCAAATGCCTCAAACGGATTGTGGGCGCTGCAGTTGAATGCATTGCAGATCAGCAAGTAGACATACGCTCTGCAGCAGGAATGGTCGTCATCCAATGTTCAGATTTCAACGAAAGAATCGTAAGCCTAGCCATCGACCAAGTGAAAGACCCCAAGAAAAAGACCACGCTCAAGGAAGTACTCGCCAGGGCGGGAAAAAACCTGGCTAGTCCGGGTCGCAGAAGTCCAGGCCATCACACCGCCGGCCTCTCAACTGCTGGCGCCTACCCTAGCTCCGGCAGCTTCACCCAGTCGCCTCTGGTCAAAAAACCATCAGCGACCGCGGCTAAAGGGGCGTCCTTCAAAACCAGTTCCTACGACCATGAGAAACCAGGGGCTGCAACGCACGCGGCTGCAACGCCAGGGAATACTGGAGGGGGTGCTAACCAACCCGGCCATCCCGCTGTCACCGGCCCAAATCTCTCGGGGGAGAACCTGGTCGCCTTCAAGGAGCTGCTGGAAGCCACAGAATTCATTGATGTTCAGGATGTCATGGACGATGTAACATCCGCCAGCTGGAAGACGAGACTTACCGGATACGAGTTAATTAAGGATCATTTTGTCAATGTAATCTTTTCCCTGTTCTTGCTGCCGTTCTCACTGCCCCGCTGCGCTGTCGCATCCTAGTTGGTATCGCCTCCTAAGTCGTGAATCTCGTAGTGAATCTCGTTTCTTTTAGAGCGCTATATTTTGCAAACACGTGTGTGCACAAGTTTCAATGGTCTCTGTTATGTTACAACTGGGTGGTCCAAATATTGGCAGTGCTAATGAGTCGGTCTTGAGGAAGGAGTTGCAAAATATGAATGTTGTTTTGGCTGAAGTTGGGGCGCTGCAAGCGGCTCGATCTGATATCGTTTTGGATTCGTCTCGGTGCGTCAGCAATGGAATTCTAAGCCCGCAGTTTGTTGGGTCTTTATTGAAGTACTATTTGAACCATAGCCAAGATTGCCTGCCCAGGGTGGACAAGGATTTACGGAACTTCATTCTGGAATTAGCTGGTCTGCTGGGTCCGATGTTTGTTTTGAAAAACTTCAAGCAGCATTATAAAGACTCCAGGGAGCACTGGAGCATACTGTATGAGATCTTGACATCGTTTGAAATCGCCTCATTCCAGCCGGGGTTGGCGATAGCTTGGCTGAAGGAAATTCTAGCAGACATCAAGTCGCGACCGAACAGCAACATGTTGCAGTCGATAATGATGAAACGGTTTAATGCAATGGATTTGCGGCTGAGTACGATTCCGAGAGAGATCGATGCCACCTTGAGCAGCGTGCACCCAAGCCGATGCATAAAAGGAGTGACGGCAAGTTATCCAACCGGCCCTTATTCGACCGGGGGTTACTCTACCGGTGGTCCTCAAGCAGTCAACCTTCAGGGGGGTGGTCAGCATGGTCAAGGAGGGGGTCAGCATGGGCAAGTATTGGAGCATCATGGTAGTATGTCGGGGATTGCGAGTGGCGTTCCTTCCGGAATGGCTCGGCGTTCTTTGTATGAAGTGAGTCCTCAGCCAATTACTACGGGTCCTGGCGGTGGTCCTAGCGGTGTCCTTCCTGGCAGTGTTGTGCCTGGGGGTGGCCCGGAGGTGTTGGAGGTTTCGCGGCAAGTGTTGAACGACTTGGTGTCGGGAGAATGGCGTTTGCGGCGGACAGCGTTGGCTAAGTTGAAGGAGTTGATTCAGGACCACGAGTACGCACCGAGTGGAAAACATTTGGAGGTGGCTACAGCTTTGAGTAAGGCGCTGAAGCACGATGCGCAACGACATGTGTTGGCGGCTTTAATGGAGTTGGTGGCGGAGTTCCCGTTGTGTTTGTCATACAGTCAGGTGTTATTGGACAGTGCGAAGGTGTTGGTACCGTTGTTGTTGCCTCGGATCAATGACAAGATACCACAGGTGGCGCATACTGCGGTGCAGGGTTGCGAAATTTGGTTAAGTAGGATCGGCGTTTTGAATTTTTCCTACTATGGTATTTTCGGATGTACTCAGAAGCCGCTGGTCACACGTCTGACGGCAGACAAGAAAGAGATTTTGTATTCGCTGATGGCCGAATGTCTACGACACCAGGGGCTGGACAAATACCTCCCGATGGAAGGTGACCACGCTCTCCCGTTCCTGGAATTGTTATGTTCGGACGCAGCAAACGAGCGATCGCAGCCGTTGGTGAAGGTGTGTTGCAACATAATTGCGGAGTTCGACCTGTCTGCGGGAGAGTGGGAGTGTTTGCTGACGGCGGTGGAGTCAGTAGGGTGTCTAAGTGCGGTGCAGGATGCGATATTGCAGAAGCTTAATGACGGTTCGGCGGCGGAGTTGGCATTATTACCCTGCCTAGAAAACGAGTCGATGTCGAAGCGTCTGAGTGCTCGAAACGGACGCTGGAGTCCGACGTCTTGGACGAGTATTGAGGACATCCGAAAGTTCGCGAATGAGTGGAAACCGCACGTGACGGACAACTTATGGTACTCTATGTTCCCTGAACTAAGTTCGGCCGATTTCCAAACGACTCACGCATTAGAGTTTTGGAGCTTCGCTGTGGAATTTGGATCTAAGTGTACATGTGTTGAAGACCGGCTGGGGGCAACGGATAACTTTGTGCGTATTTTTGACGAGCACGGGGGAATATTTGACCTATTATGTCAATGGCTGTTGTGGCGTGTCACAGATCCGTCATGTCTAGTGCGGGCTACCGCAGCCCGAATTCTGCAGGAGTCCATGGCCCGTTTAATTGCTGCGCGAGTGGACGTACGATTCCTGCAAGAAAACGGTTTCGAGTTGACTACGTCTATTTTGCTCGAGGGCACTTTAGACTTTGGGTTGACGGAGAAGTTACTGGACGCCTTCCTGGAGCTCCTACCTTTGCGGGCGGCGCCATCTAGCGCGGACGAGGACGAAGTGTATGCGACACTAAAGGACGTATTTTATGCGTTGACGTTTGTGGCGCGAGATGTATGTCGACTATACGCGTTGACCATGGTTAAGTACAAGAGGCATCCAGAGGTGTTAGAGTTAACACGTTTCATTATTGAGCAAGAGGGCTGGCACGCTTGTTCGAATCTTTTTGGCGAGTTGACGGAATTTGCGCAAAACGCGCTGAGCGAACAACAGAACACGGTAACTGAGCTGGCAGCGCACTGTATGGTCCTCATCCTCCTGTCACTCACGCGGCGCGCTGCCTCAACCGCCTTGAACAAATTAGAGGAACAGATTCCGGGTTGCCGCAAGTTTGTTTCGCGCTATACACGCGCACACCAAGAACTCCTCAGCGTCTTTCCCAGAGGCGGGGTCGGTGGCGATGAGAACTGCTTCGAGGAAAAGAACGTGGACGCCGCAGTCTATCTTAGTCGCGGGGCGGAGAACGGGGTTGAGGGCGAACGTGTGGGCAGCCAGGATGATGCACCAAGTGCGACACGCGGAGAAAAAAATGCGCTCCAGGAATTAGACGCAGTCGTGGCCGAAATTGGCCTGGATCAAAGCATCCAGGCCGCCAAAGCCGAGATCGAACAAAAGACCTGGCTACTCAAACAACATCATACTCAGATCAAACTGCTAGACTGGTATTACGAACTACAACGAGAACGAGAAGGTAAACAGGTGGGGGTAGAATCCGAACTCGCCTACTGGAATGGCGTCCGCCTCCTAGAATACGCCCAGAGCAACGTTGACAACAGCTACATCGTCCTAGAATGCAAACGCCTCCTGCAACAAGACATGAGTCAAATAAGCGAAGCAGCACAAGTCCTCCTTACCATACACGCGCAAAATTCCAAAGACACAGAAGGACGCTCAGAATGGATGTTGCCCTTCAGTATGGACCTTATCTGCGGCTGCTATAACGCTCTACGTAATGTCTTCCAAATAGACAAAATGGCCATGCCCAGCTTCATCAAAACCGCCCAATGCGTCGCAGATGTAACCAGACACACAGCGGTAGAGGGGGCCGAAGCCCCCAGGGAGCCGAGGGGGCCGAAGCCCCCAGGGAGCCGGGGAGGGGGTGGGGAGAGTCCATGGTCCACTAAGTCCACTAAGAAATTGTGTCTTCGTTCTGTAGTTAACGTTTGAGGTAAGTAAGGATCGGAAAGTATTGCATCAGGCTTCTCCAGGTTTGCTTTGCGAGATGTTTGGTTCCGTACTATCCTGCATGGGATGTCACCATCACTGGGATGAGCTTCCTGGGAGCCAAGTATTGGTCGAGAAACTGAATGCTATAATGGGCTCCCATTTGCTTGGTCTGGTGTCTCCACGAACAGCCTCCTGTATTGTCGAGTGTCTCTACGATTGTGCCATACCCACTAGCCACATTATGAACCAAGTGGGCTCCTCCGATGTCGCCAACAAACGGTCAATCGATGCGGACCTCTTCGTACGAGTGTCCAAACGATTCATTCGTAAACTCAACATGAAACACCCTCAAGTCACTGAACTAGATCGCGACAACCTGTACCCACTCTCTTGTACCGACCGACTCAACTACTTGCGGACCATAGACGTAAACGTTCACACATGTTTGGCAAACACGTTTGGCAAACACGTTTGGCACACACGTTTGGCAAACATATACTCTTTATAGTCGGTCATTTCGTGTTTATTAATGGTTGAGATCTGTTTGTCCACTCCGACAGATTATATGTCGTTGAGGAAAGCTTTGTTGAATTGTATTAGGGAGACATTTGCCAGTTTGCTGATCTATACACCTGCCCTGGTTGGCATATATTTGCGAGATAAGAATTTCAGTTCCTGCTTTGAGGAGGTTACGATAAAGGTGAAGAATAGCAATTCTCCATATAAGGATTTCTCCGCTGTTGCTCTGATGCTGGATCCTTCCATGTCGAGGACCAAATTCGCCTCGTATGCTTTGGAAAGGATCATGAATGAGAGCACTTCGGTTCGACCAAACTCCGACACGAACTACATGCTATTACATAAAGCCTATCTTGCTAGTGGCCAGAATTCCAAGCTTACCCTTCCTGATGAGTTGCCCGTGTTTTCTATCAACGAAATTGTTCACAAGGCTCCATCTAATATTTCTCTAACTACTCTAGATTCAACCACTGCCGGCGGCTGGACCAAAAAGCGGGACCAATTATATGTCGGGGAGGAAGCGAAAAAGCGAAGTGATGTCGTACCATTAGAGGAACTTAAAGTCGTAAGCCTCGCTAGGTCATACGAGCCAGCACAGATTTCCGCATGCTTTACCACACATGTGTGCGAACACGCTTTACTACACGCCTGTACAAACACTTACAAAAACAATTGTTGATGTAGACGTGGTTGCGGAAGTTGGGTAGGCTATGTGGATCTCATGTTGGTGAGATACCGACGGCTGGGCATGGCGAAGGGGCTGCTGGGGAGAAGTTGACGAGTTTATGCATGAGGTTTCGATCTTTTTGCCATTCCTCTTTTTCCTCTTAAAAAAGATGCAGGTCAGCCCCCTGGTGTCGGTGGTGGAGGCGCGTTCGTTCCTCAGTTCATTGGTATTGTTTGAGAGATCTGATGCGGAGATATCTAAGCTTGGAGATAAATTAGTATTGCAACTGTACAGAGAGACGATAGGGCGGCGATCGATGGGTCGTTTGATCCACAGACATGAGCAGAATTTTGGTGGAATTCCTTGCTTGATAGCGCACAATTGTTTGCGCCCAGAACGCGCTATAATTTATTTACATGGTTTTGCTAACTCGCCGTTCCATGCGATTCCTTTGATCGAGCGGTACTACGGTCTGAACATGGACCAGGGCGAAACGGCCAACGCAGACGTGTGGATCATACCCCGGGGGCCCATTTGCGTGGGCGGCGTAAACGAAGAAGAGTGCATTTACAGCCGCGCCCCGTCCGTTTCGAACCGGCGACTGCCAGATTCAGGGATGATGGATGGCAACCTGTACTGTTGGTGGGAGCTGTCTAGTCTAAGAACCAAGGGCACATTCCGGCAACTCGTGGACGTCGTCAAGACCAAGCTTTTCACACCCATGGACCTCGCCGGCGTACTGGCAGATATCGCCGCAGTCATCGATTCGACCGCCCTCCTGTACGGCTTGTCGATCCGCCAAATATACGTAGCCGGCTTCAGCCAGGGAGCCACACTCGCCAGCGAGGTCCTCATTCACAGACCCGACCTCGCCGGAGCCATACTCCTATCCGGGGGGTCGGCCGCACGAACAACACGTCATAACTCCAGACGTACTCACCCACCCTCGTCCACCTGCAACGACGAAAGACTTTGGCAAAACACCACTAGTACTACGCTCGTCAGCACTCCCAGAACCAACACTTTCACGAGTACCCCCACTACCCTCACCGGTAGCAATATCGGCGGCGCTCCCTCGCCCAGGGCACGAACAGGATCCTTCTCTACTTCTGGAACGCCGGGACTGGAAACACCTGTATTTGTATCCCACGGAACCAAAGACAATGTCATCCCTCTTACTCTAGGAAAGCTGCTGCGGCACCGGCTTTCCAACAAAGGGTTCTGCAACGTAGAATTCTTCACGTTCTCCGGCGGCCACGAAGTCACCGATGAAGTGCTGCAACGGCTGGCTCGCTGGATGAACTTCGACCGCAACCCCGCCCAAAGTGATGGCAGACTGCTCGCCAAAATTCACAACCTCGGGCAACCAGTCAGAGCCGCCCGCTGCAAGAACACGGAGGGTGTCACCGGAAGCAAATCCTATGTTCCGGCGCCCTGCCTCACACCCGAACCCCTAAACGTACGCTTGCACACATGTCTATCGCACGTGTGTGCACACATGTGTCCATATGTGCACACACGTGTGCACACGATTTTGGACGCATTCGCCTGTTCAGACAACCCCGTTCAGCTGGTCTGAACTCCCGAACAAGGAAGCGCGTTTCTTCGCGGAAGTTTGGCTGAGACTTCCTCGCCTGAGGAACTGTATATCGCTCCCATCCAGCACCGTTGAGTACATGACACCGGAGCCGGACGATGAGGCCTTGATAAGGCACATAAGCAGGTTTAATGAATTACAATGCGTAAGCCAGCATAGTGTCCTACCTCGTTTCCCACCTCAAGGTTCTACCTCAGGGCCTCCAGCTAGAGATTCTATCCCAGGGCCACCGAGTGGATCTCGCGATTCTATCTAGGAATGTGTGACAATAACGAGTGCTTTTAGAATGAGGAGGAGTCGCCGACCGGATCCAGTCGCCGTCATCGCATAAAAGGATTCTTCCAGCGGCGACGGCGTCGGGCGGGCGGGTCATCGTGGTCGTCACAGTCTGGCCGGGAAGACGGGGAAGAGAAGGACCCGCGAGACGACTCGCAGCTCCGGGACTGGTACGGCCTGCTCTAGCAAGGGACTCGAACCAAACACCTAGAACCAAAGGGCCGCCTGACACGGCTTGGGGAACAAGGCGCAGGCGCTGGCTGGGGGGCTCAGAATGAAAGGCCCCGGGGGGGGGAGGGGGGGGGGGGGGGGTCGGGACGGGGCGTCGTGTGGCGT